TCTCAATATTATGCCTGCTGAAGGGATTGGTGATGATGTTTTGGATGACCACCACCTTCAGAATCTATTAGGTGGAATGGATGACGACCACCTTCCGAGTGGCGTTTGATGTCATTAGAGATAATGTGAAGAAAGCAAGGGCCAAGGTGAAGGTTGCAGCAGGTGTCTCTGCTAATGGGTGTGAGGAGGTTAAAGATAAAAATCTTGCTAGTAATTCTGTGACAAGCAAGGGAAAGGAACCTGCATCCAAGCCAATTCGTTGGTCGGCTCGTGTGGCGGCTCGTTCTGTACCCAAGACAACTTGTAAGCCCTTCACAGGTAAGGTGCTTAATCTTTCAGGCGATGATGATGATTTCCAGGGGCCTAGTGCCCAATTTTATACTAATGGATCGTTGTTGGCAGCTAATGAGGGCCGCTCTTCTTTCGTTCCATAATAATTTTATCCTGGAATGTTAGGGGACTTGGTAGTGCTAAACGTAAGTAGGAACTAAAACTTTTGGTTAATAAGTTTAGACTTGATATTATTTTATTACAAGAAACTAAAATGCCTGGTCCTACTATTAGTATTGTTAGAGAATTTGGGGGGTTGAAATCTGTTATGTTTTGTGGGGTGGATGTTGTGGGTTTTTCTGGTGGCCTTTGGGCAATTTGGGACCCATCAGTAGTGCTTTGTTCTCAGATTATCATCAATGATCGATTTTTTAGAATGATTTTCTAGTGTCCTTTTTCTCATTTTTGATGGTTGCTTATGAATGTATATGGGCCTAATATTCATGCTCTTAAAATTGTGTTCCTTAATTATTTAACTTCTTGTTTGAGGGATGTTTGCTTGCCTTTTTGCTTGGGGGGAGATTTCTATTTCATCAGCAATTCTGATGAAACTTCTTCAAATGTGTCTTATAATGGTGGGATGAGGTTATTCAATGATTTTGTCATGACAAATGGGCTGATGGAGTTACCGGTGTCTGGTGTTCAGTATACCTAGTCTACTAATAGTCTGGTTAATTTGGTTATGAGCAAATTAGACAGGTTTTTAGTCTCGACGGATTGGGAAAGCCAGTTTCCCTTGGCTTCGGTTTCTTTGTTGGCAAAATTATTCTTAGGCCATATACTATTATGCTTACAATCTAGCAAAAACGTTATGGGGCCTAGACCTTTTTGTATGGATGCTGATTGGTTGCTTGAATCAAACGTTGTTGATTTGGTAAAGCATACTTGGTTAAATACGACTGTGATAGGACATCATGGCCATAGATTGCACAAAAAACTGTTAATAGTTAAACACTTTTTAATTGATTGGAAGCAAGCAAATAGGTTCTATTTGAAAATGAAATTAGATAGTGTTATGTCACAGTTACAATTTCTAGAGGAGGATACTCAATTGTTGGGAGTTCTTTCGGTAGAGGTTGCAGCTACTAAGGACCGGCTGGAAGCTGAGTTGCATGACTTGTTAAAGACATGAGGAAATTTATTGGAGACAAAGATCTAGAGTAAAATGGCTGAAAGAAGGTGATTTAAATATTGCTTTCTTTCATGCAATTGCAAACTCTAGAAAGATCATTAATGATATCACTGTAATTTTTTTTGGTAACTTAGTTGAGGAGGATGGTGAAGTTTGGGATAATGAGTTTGTTAGAAAATTTGAGGAGGCCTTTACCAACGAATGCATTATGGGTGTCTCTTTTCCTGAGGTGCCATGAATTGGAAATACCTGTGACTAAGGAGGAAGTAAAACGTGTTCTTTCTCTCTTAATGGGGATAAGGCATTTGGACCAAATGGTTTCCCCTTGGTTTTTTTCCATAACTTCTGGGATTTAGTAGGGGATGAGGTGTTTTATATGGTGGTTGATTTCTTTAATCACGGAGTTATAGATAAGAGCATTAACTCTATGTTTATTGCTCTATTCTTAAAAAGAATGCGATCGCTAGTATTTCTGATCTGAGACCTATTATCTTACTAACAAGTCTCTATAAGATTGTTGCAAAGTTGTTATCCCTCAGATTGAAGAAGGTATTTTCGTTAGTGGTCTCTGGCCCCCAATCAGCTTTTATTAAAGGAAGAATTATCATGGATAATAATGTTTTAATTGCTCAAAAATATCTTCATTCTAAAGTTTTGTGCGCAGAACCAGGTGTGGTGTTGAAATTAGATTTAGAAAAGGCATATGATAGGGTTGAATGGAATGTTTTAGATGAGATTATGTTGAGAATGAAGTTTGGGGTCTGATGGAGAAGGTGGATTAGAGGTTGCTTATCATCGGCTCATTTTTCAGTCCTAATGAATGGAAGCCCAAAGGGTTTTTTTAAAGCTTCTAGAGGTTTGAGGCAAGGAGAACCATTGTCACCATTTATGTTCACTTTGGTGGCGGAGGGTTTTAGCTTAATGCTTAAAAGAATTGAACAGATAGGTAGGTTTAATGGCTTCAGAGTGGCTGTTGAGCGCCCTATTATCTCTCACCTGCAATATGCTGATGACACAATCATATTCTGTGATGCAAATGGAGATAAGGTTCTAGCTATCTCTTTATTCTTACGATGTTGTGAGGTTACTATGGGTCTTAAAGTTAATTTTTCAAAAACCACTGTAGTGGGTGTTGAGCCTGCCTTGGTTGATGAATTAGCATTGTCAATAGGGTGTGCGGTTGGTAGTCTTCCTTTTAATTATCTAGGCATTCCTATTTCAGATAAAAGGTTCTCAAGATCGGTATGGGACCCAGATATTAATAGAGTTATCTCTAAGCTAGATTTATGGAAGTCTAAATTTTTATCTCCTGGAGGGCGTGTTACTTTGATCAAATCAACTCTATCTAATATGCATGTTTACTTGCTATCCTTGCTTTATATGTCAGCCCCTATTGTTAAGGAAATTGAGCGGCTCATGCGCAATTTTTTATGAGACTCTTTTGATGGTAACAAAAAATACCATTTGGTGAGCTGAGATAAAGTTTGCACTCCTAAAGCTGAAGGGGGTCTGGGGATTTGCAAGATCACATTTGTTAATTTAGCTCTGCTATCCAAATGGTGGTGGGGATCTATTAAAGATGGAGATCAATTGTGGAAGGAAGTTTTGGTTGTTAAATATGGTGTGGATAATAGTGGCTTTATTGGTAAGGGAAGAGGAGGAAATTGGCAATCCCAATTGTGGAAAGGTATATACTCTACTAGGGAATTGGTAGTGAGAAACTTGAGGTGGGAAGTGGGTAGAGGATCTACTATTGATTTTTGGAATCGTAAGTGGATGGGTGATGGTCTGTTGAGATTTAAGTATAAAGAAGTGTTTGATAGGTGTGTAAATGAGCATTTAAAGGTGGACGAGGCTATAAGGTGGTCTGTTGATAGATTATCTTGGGATATTCGATTGAGCTATAATAGGGTGCCAAATGTTGTTCTTAATCAATTTTGTGATCTGTTGCTAGATCTTGATACAATTTACATATCCAGACATCATGAGGATGAGGTAGTATGGGAGTTAATTGCAGATGGTATGTTCTTAGTGAAGTCTGTGTATCATCTATTATTTCATCATAGATTAAGATGGGAACAACCAAAGCTCAAATTCATTTGGAAATGGCATATTCCACATAAGATTCAAATCTTTTTATGGACACTCTTGCAAAATAAAGTGCTAATAGTTGACAATTTGAGGAAGAGGGGGAAAATAATGGTTAATATTTGCTTGTTGTATAAAAATGATGAGGAGACTAGAGATCATTTATTCATTCATTGCCAGTTTAATTCAGCGGTATGGATTTGGGCCTTTTAAGTTATTGGTTTTCAAATGCCTTCATCGGCACATCAGTTTGATCTAATAGATCAAGTCTCGATTTCTTCTTTGCCTAAAAGGGGGGTGATGATATGGCAGATTTTTAGAGCTTCAATGCTTTGGGAAGTGTGGTCAGAGAGAAATAGGCGAATATTTTAGGGATTTAGTTGGGAGTTGGATCGTGTGAAAGTGAAAGATAAGATTTTTCAAAATGTTTGGTTGTGGTTTTCTTTTTCGAAAGAAGGTTTCGGGGTTTCAAATATTGATATTCGACTGAATGTGAGGAGTTTGTTACACCAACGAAGTTATAGACCCAATATTCGATGTCAATGGACCCACCCTATCGTGGATGTTTTAAGTTGAATTTTGATGGCAGTTCTTTGGGATACCCAGAGCATGCTGGTTTTGGGGGTGTGGTTAGAGATTATCAGCGTGTAGAGATAATCACTTTTTGTGGCCCTTGTGGGATAACTATAGCAAACCAAGCAGAAATATTAGCTATGCTTCAAGGTTTAAAGTTGTTGAAGGATCGTTGTGATCAATCTGCATGGCTGGTGGAAGGGGATTCTCTTAATGTTATCAACTGGATGTCTATATCTAGTAAGCCACCTTAGAGCTTGAGAAGGTTTTGGTTGGAAGCTTTGGTTATTTATCGCAATAAGGTTGGGGCTTTCAATCATGATTTTAGGGAAATGAATGAAAGGGCTGACTCGCTTCCTAATGATGGAGTGTTGGCCCATCTTTGGTGCTTAATTTGTTATCCTTTTAATTATTGTATTTATCATCTTCACTGAAATTGTTAGTTTAATTGAGTAATAAAGTCATTGTGATCTTGTTAAAAAAAAAAAGTCTTTTTTTTTTTAATGTCCACGTATCTCAAAGTCGAGATTATTAGATTTGAGGGTCTTTTGGCATGGAAACAACTTCTAGTGAATTTCTGAAATGCGTCTTAATTTTATTGTTTAGAGCCTCAACGTTATATAATATTTTGGCATGGAAACAACTTCTAGTGAATTTCTGAAATGCGTCTTAATTTTATTGTTTAGAGCCTCAACGTTATATAATATTTTTCCTTGTTTAATAGCTTGTTTTTTTAGTTTTTTTTTGTATACGCGGTTCAAAAAGTTGTGGGAGGAAGACAATAGTACTAATGCTGAATCGGTCCATCCAAACAAGGCACTCGGTACAAATTTATATGCAAACTAATACTGAACTCTGGTCCTTCCAAATAGGCCATTCAATATAAATTTATATCCAAACTCCAAACAGTTTCAGGCCCAACGACTACAAAAGTATCTTGAACTTGGGCTTTGAGATAGACATCAGTTATTAGGAAAGGTCAAGGGTTCAAATCCTCGAAGTTTTTTCTTAAAAACAAACGATAATCATCGATCTTTGAGCTATGATCCAAGATTTTCACCCGTTAGCTATGATTCAAGTTTTTCACCCGTTACAAGGTTTTTTATATACCAATGTTTTTTTCACAGTCCACTACTCAACATGAATAGCATGGCTCACAGTCCATCACCCAAGATGAATAACTTAGGTGAGCCATGTCAAGAGTGTTGCGCATGCTAGAGCTCAAATCCAGGGAACCTAGAAGCCATGGGCGTGGAGAGGTCGAAGCATAGGCAAGCGGCCCCTGTCAAACCCTGGAATAGAGAATAGGGCTTGTCACCGCCTTGCGACTGTGCACCTATCATTAGCTTTTGGGAAACCCACCCGCCGAAGGCCTTTGCCCTCTCCAAATGGACTTCCTCCCCTGTTAGCCGATGGACTGAAAGAAAGGCATAGGCGTTCCCGCTCTCACTGTCGCCAAGAGACAAGAGACAAGTTCTGCCCCACTCCCTTCTTCAACACTACCTCGCTCGCATCAATGGGAGTAGCACGAAACCTTGCATCATTTCCAAAAACCTGAAAATGAATCATCCAGCAAACTAATGAGAACAATGAAAAGATACTTCATTAGAAACAGATTATATAATATAAATTGAACAATAAAAAGTTCCTTGACTAGAAACCGACAATAAAATGTAAATTGCATTGTCTTCCATATCTCTAACAGGAAAAATTATGTCCTTACTATATTTAAATAGAGTTATTATGTGGGGGTCCATATTTTAGCAAAATTTACACAGAGGTCTACCCTACGCACCATTTTTTAATTATTCTAATTTTGCCTCTTGGTTGTTCTAAACATCATACCGCTTTTTTATTTTATTTACATTGTAGGGCTTCCTTGTGACAGGTGACAATGTTGGGTATGTCCAATGTTTCCAACATTAGACAACACTAAAGTTTAGTAGTTCTAGGTCCTGAACATCATATTCCCCATTGCCCTATGGTTCAAAACATCTGAACATCATATTTTTCGATAGTTCAAAACATCCGAACATCATATTGCCCTATTGTTCAAAACATCGGACAAGTCTCTTAGCATGAGGTCCGATGTTAAAAACATCGAACACCATATTCAAATGATTATTCAATATAACTAATTATTATTCAATATAACTAACTATCAGACTATCAATAATTTTAACTTATGCGCCACAGCCCTATTGATGGTCTAATGTCAAATTGTCATTATGCTGTTTGATGTTTCTAACATTGGACCGCCAGCTAAAAGACCAATCTCATGTTTCAAACATGAGACCATCCATAAAATATAAGCGCTATAGGCGGTACAATGTTTGGGTCACTGGACTGCCGAACCGAAGGGTAGTCCGATGTTCAAAACATTGGATATATCCCAAAATGTCTCCCCGCTAGGTAGGAAGCCCTACATTTAACAAAAATTATTAAAAATATATATTTTTTTAACTTTTTTTTATGTTTGGAATATCGGAACGAGGGTCACAATTGAAAATATAAAAACCTTTTAGTAAAGCGAAAAGTTTATATAGACCCGAGGCTCTAATCAATCAAATTAGAACCTATCTCAAAAACATCACTAGAAAAGGTGGTTTTGATGCCCAAATATGCTCAAATTGATCATCTCGACATCAAGATGTATGGACATGAGAAAAAAATACACTTCAAATTTTGGAAATAGCATATTTTGTAATGCATTTTTAGACCATCAATTTTCAAGATTTTGAAGTTTTTATAGATTTCACGACCCCGCTCCCCGACCCCCGCCTTCCCATACCGGAGAACGACAGAGCTCGGGATCGCGAACACAGAGGTCGCGGATGCCACTCAGGTGGGAGTGGCTCAACGCATAATTTAATTTGGAATCACAGCAAACCATGAAATAAAGCAAAAACTCATACAAAACAAAATCCAAACCTGAGAAAAATAACACCATTTATATACCTATTCAGACTCCAAAATTTCATGTTACAACAAGTTCAAGGCACAACAGGCCTGATCACAAAAATTCCAGAATTCTTCAAAATACAATTTTACACATCCACCAAGCACCTACCATCAAAAGAGTCACCAACTGGAACTTTAAGCTTCAAAACGACTGCCACCACCGTCCAGCTGTCCACACTAAGGTATCAGAGGGCAAAAAGAGTGGTATGAGCTAAAGGCTCAGTAAGCGAATTCAGCACCCTTGCATTCCAACCTAAATGCACTCCTAAAGGATAATAGACGCACAACTATCACAGTTCATGCAAGATCACAGAATACAATCATACATTAATAGATACAGACAGAGTGAGTAGAAAAAGTTCAATTCTCAGGGCTTTCCATGTTTCATGAACTAAATAGTCATACATACATATATCACTATCACACAGTCCGAAGCTTGGCTAGGGCATACAGTTCAAATAGACAGAAATTAATAGGGCCTAATCCTGAAGTAGAAGTCACATCGACGCGGTTAAGCCAATCCTGTAACTTGTGACTTCTACCCTCATTCTGGAAGGAGGATAATAACAAGTGAGGGCCACACTTCGTAGTCCTCACTCACGAACACAGTCCCCAGCACGCTTTGCAAGACACGACCCTCTCTTGGTGTCGTCAGGCAAGAGGGCATTACACTAGCATTGGACGACCCAATATGTAGTGCCCATAACAGAGTCGGGGGCGCAACCATCCCAGTTATTTACAGTTACATCTCGACTCCTCTCCTATCATAGGAGTCGAGGTATGGTATACCCCACTACTAATGGAGGACCCATTGCGTAGAAGGCAATTATCAGAATTACTATACCCACTACCAATGGAGGACCCATTACGTAGTGGTCAGCATCAGAATCCCAATTAGATAAATACATTTTTCACTACCAATGGAGGGCCCATTGCGTAGTAACCAGAATCAGATAACAGAGATACAGTATCCACTACCAATGGAAGATCCATTGCGTAGAGGCCAGAATCGGAATTATATAGGTATCATACCTAATACAAGCATGCTTAAACATTCACTCATTTAAAGAGGTCAGGAACATTCATGGTATCATACGTATGCCATTTCAGTATCATCTTACAAAAGAATCAAGCCATGTTCAACATATCGATGTATAGCAGATGTATGATCTACTCAATAACTAAGAATTCATTATAATTCTTATCATGAATATGCATATGCAAGGTGAGACATAACATCCAACTTATGAGGGAAATTTACTTCTTTTCAATTGCTCTTTCAGAGTGAGTATGAGCCTCCCTCAATCAATAAAAGTATGAAGCTTAATTGAGCATGACCAATTCAAGGCTAATATAGAGTCTTGAAATTCTAAAATGTCATATTGGGGTATGTTTCATAATCTGGGATATAAACATCAATTTTATAATGAATTTCAATACAATTCAAAAACAAACTTTCAATTTAACATTCTTAGCTTTCATGTGATAGTAATTTGAGAGCATTTGGACCCCATTTGGTCTATCCAAAGCTTAAAGAACCAAAAGCAATAGTTTTGGAAATTGCTGAGTTCGGTCATCAGTGAGGTATTCTCATAATTCGATGTATAACTCTTGATTTAGAAATAATTTCAAAATTCTTTGAACATGTGAATTCAAAAGGACACATATACCTTTCAAATAAAACTGGTTTGAAGGAAATTGAACCCCATTTGATTATTTAAAACTTATGAAAACAGGAACAAACTTTCTGAGTTTTCTGCAATCTGTCAACAAATATATGTCCACATACTTTGAAACATAACTCTCAAATTATACAGAATTTGGACAAGGTTAAAACATGAAACTCATAGTAAAATCGTGTATCTTTCAAATGGCTTTGTTTATGAGTCATTTAAACTTCATTTGGCCAAACAAAACATCAGCACAACAGGAATGATATTTCTGAAATTTAATAACAGTGACGTGTACTCACAAACAGAAACATAGCTCTCAATCCGCAAAGAATTTCAACTGAGTTTAAATAGAAAAATCACAGTAGACTCACATAGCTTTCATTTAAACTTGTTTTTAAATCATTTTGAGGTATATAAGTCAATGAAAAGTTCAATTTACAGAACATGCATCTTTTGGGAAAATTACAGAATTTCATACCCGAATTTTGGCACACTTCAAAGAGTGATTAGTAACTTTTAAATTAAAATCGGCATTAATGCAAGGTTATTTTCAGCTTAAACCAGATTCAAAAGAGTTTTTACCTACCAATTTCATAGCCAACAAAAATGCCTTTAAGGCTCAATCTATCATGCAAATAAGAGGTACAATCCTGAAAAATCAGGGCTTATTCTAGCATGCTATCATACATGCTTAAGCTTGTATTCAAACAAAAATTATGAAAGCATGGATGCTATATTCCACTTATGTTAGGGCCCGAACTTTTCCAGCGTATTGCTTTTCACAGGCGAGTAGACGGCACAGGAGAAACACCGCACATGGAAAACCGTGCGTGATGTGTTACCACCATGCACAATTAAATAGGGTAGTCCAAGGGACTACCTCTTTACCTTCTTTTTCCTCTCCCTTGTTCACCACGTGCTCCCCCCCCCTCCCCCCCGCTTTGTTTGCCACTTAGTTGTGGCATGCTGCCACCCCTCCTCTCCCTACCCATGTTAAACCCAACCTCACTCCAAATGCTACACCCTCTCTCCCTCTTTCTCTCCCTCTCGCTCACGCCACCTTCCTTAGCCTTAGAATTTCAAGGCTTTCCATTCAACCACCATTAGAAGCATGGGTAAATCTGAAGGTCTCTTGGCACAAGTAAGTGGATTATAGCATCCATGCTTTCATAGTTTTTGTTTGAATACAAGCTTGAGCATGTATGATAGCATGCTAGAATAAGCCCTGATTTTCCAGGATTGTGCCTCTTACTTGCATGAAAGATTGAACCTTGAAGGCATTTTTTATGGCTATAAAAATTGGTGGGTAAACACCCTTGTGAATTTGGTTTAAGCTGAAAATAACCTTGCATTAATGCCTATTTTAGTTTGAAAGTTACTAATCACTCTTTGAAGTGTGCCAAAATTTGGGTATGAAATTCTGCAATTTTCCAGAAAGATGCATGCTCTGTAAATTGAACTTTTCATTGACTTATATACATCAAAATGAGTTAAAAACCAGTTTAAATGGAAGCTATGTGTGTCTATTGTGATTTTTCTGTTTAATCTCAGTTGATAGTTTTTACGGGTTGAGAGCTATGTTTCTGTTTGTGAGTACATGTCACTCTTATCAAATTTCAGCAGATTTCAGAAATATAATTCCTGTTGTGTTGATGTTTTGATTAGCCAAATGAAGTCTTAATGATTCATAAACATGGCCATTTGAAAGATACACGAGTTTACTACTAGTTTCATGTTTTAACCTTGTCCAAATTCTATAAAATTTGAGAGTTGTGTTTCAAAGTATGTGGACATGTATTTGTTGACAGATTGCGGAAAACACAGAAATTTTGTTCCTATTTTCATAAGTTTTAATTAATCAAATGGGGTTCAATTTCCTTCAAACCTGTTTTATTTGAAAGTTCTATGTGTCCTTTTGAA